GTCACAGTTATTTAAAAGTAAATGCAGTTAGTTGAACTTAAGAGTGCTTTATTGACCCACTTTAGTAGGACTTAAATACAATGATATATGTAGCTTCATAATTACTTCTGTCTAAAAAGCACTGAAAAAAATGAAATTGTCTGTCTTTAAGTACACTTGAGTGTCCTTTTATTTCTATAATACTATATTTATCTGTGAGTACAGTTTTTTCATATACTTTTAAGATTTAAAGTCCATTATGAGTGCACATTCAGTACAGTTTAATGCACTTATTTGTAATGATTTTTCTGCTGTGGCTTTAGATGCTCGGTGATATGCAGAATAAGCAATTGTTTAAATGAGATTTGCAAGTATGCTCTTCAGTTGTACATGCATTGCTCTTGTGGTATCAAACTTCACTGCTATACACTCCATTATACTGTATAATGCATATATACAATATATATAGAAGTGTATATATATATATATATATATATCCATATTCATATTTTTTGTGTGTTTGTTTTCAAGGAAAGCTATAAATAGGGTCATAAACAATGAACAAGACTGACAGACTCATGTGCTCTTTTACGTTCACAGGCTTCCTCAGAGTCTAATAATAGAAGGCTCTGAAGTGCACGAGGCACCTTTATGAATCCGTATTTGTGTTGCACATGCAGTGATTTATTGTCTTTTGACTGTGGTTTTTATCACTGCAGCATGTTTGAGCCGTTTGCTGACACCTGCTAATGACTGTGTTTATGACTCGCAGTCTAAACCGCACGAAACACTAACATATTTATATCTCCCCATGCTGTCTTCCTGTTCCTTTTAATAAAGCTTGAATGCCCTGATCACGTGATGACAGGCGTGCTCTGAGCCCGGCTTCACTGAAGTACATGCATGCGGTCATGCGATCACAGGAGCTGGGCTAGCGTTCACGGCAGGTGGGACGGATGCTCCAGAGATCCACACTCACACACACACACACACACACACACACTCAATTAAGATGGAATGTGTAATGAGTTTATTTTTAGCACACTGTGCTATTTGCAACCTGTGCGTTGTTTCCCAGCGGCCACCTTCCCCTCCTCGTGTCACACGCTGCTTCCTTCTCTGGCTGTCTCTCGGTTTCTCTGGGCCGCTCTGCGTTCGTGTTCCCATGGAAGCAGCCACCATCTTATTCCTTGCTGCTTTAGCTCGGTGTCAACTTTGATGATAATTCTGGTGTCATCTGAAGGATGTGTTTCCTCCGACCACAGGAGTGGCTGGCATCACCGCCTCAAAGTTATGCAGAAAATCCCAAGGTCAAATATACATGAAGAAATGGCAATATGTTTTTTTGACATTATTTTGCAGGTGTCACATTCTTGCATTCAAAAACAGCTGGGTGGGATTCAGAGGTCTGAAGACGTGTTTATAGACAATTCACGTCTTTTAGCGTGACACAGTGTGTCAGTTTTTGGAACTAAACGTAGCAACGCTGCTGATATACAGTGGGTACGGAAAGTACTCAGACC